ACATCCAGGCTGCTCTGGACAGCGGTGAGCACCGACTGGCTCAGGTGATGTTGTAGTGCCATAAACACGTCAAGTGAAACCTTTCAGTAGAGAAGGTTGTTTTTTTTTTGTTTTTTTTTTGTTTTTTTGGCTCCGAGACGTTTTCAACCAGTTTCCCCTCCGAGCAGTCGGTGCGAGCCAGGCCCAGACCAGCCTCGGCTTACGGGGAGGCACCGTGAGCCTCCGGTCCGGGCTTGGATCAATATCACCGCCTCGACATATCATCTTTACTTCACTTATATTAATCCAGATCGGCTGAATTTTTTTTTTTTTTAAAGAAAGAAAGCTGCTCTGTTTGGTTTTTATTTCCGTTTCCTCCTCCGCGCCTCCCCAGACGGTTAGCTTATAGCCGTTAGCTCGACTAGCTAGCGACGTTACCTGTCCTGCCCGGTTGTTCCGACTCATTCACAAAAAAACTGCCCGAAATGAGGCGTTTTTCAGCGGACTAGAGAGGAGCTGAGGCGGGGGTGCGTGTGTGTGTGTGTGTGGGGGGGGGGGGGAGGCAGGAGGCAGAGAGGCTGATGGGTGACACAAGAACACACAATAAGGCGGTGAAATCACGTCCTTACCTTGTCCAGACAATTCACTTTTTCCGTGGGGTAAACGACTAGATTACATCTGCTACACAGCGGGTTCATGTTGGAGGAATGCTGCTGCGCTCGTCTCTGCTAGTTAGCACCGAAACCGAAGAGGACGATTCACGCCGCTCGTAGCCGCGCCAAAAAAAAAGAAAAAGAAAGGAAGGGAGGGGAACCGTGTACGGTTAAAGATGGAGTCAACAGAACCGACACCGTTATGTGGCTTCAAAAAGATCCGGGGAGGTTGTTGTTGCCGTCGGTCGCTGCACAGCTGGCTGTCAGTCCACTAACCAGACACGGAAAGCGCGCTCCCGCTGCCCCCTCCTCCCTCCTCCTCCTCCTCTCTCTCCCTTCCTTCCTGGACTGTGCGTGCACGAGCAGAAAGGGAAGAGGTAGACAAGAGGTTCACTTTTACGTGAACCTGTAAAGATCTGAACACCTACACACACATTTGCTGTTACATATAAACATATATCTAGATGTGTGTTATTTTAAAATCATGCACCACACCTAAAGTTTTGTGACGAAGAAGAGGAAGAAGAAGAAGAAGAAATCCGGGTCAGACTTTTTACTGCATGTGTCCCATCTGTCTCTGCATAGCAAACTCATGCAATCATCTTTTTTTTTTTTTTTTTGTTGCAGGTTTTTTGGGGCTTTACCAACCCAGTGATCTCAAATCACATTTTTACACATCTGCCACGTTCACTGCATAATCCTCCTACTGCAAGTGCACGTCGGTGCTTTTGTTGAGGGTGACACCTGCTGACAGGAAGGCCGCACTGCACCCGACACGAACCGCTGTGGGTTAAACGGCAACATCCAATAATAATGCTCAGTTTGATGGAGTCATAAAAAAGAATAAATCTGTGATTATAAATAAATTGATGTGGAAACATAAAGAGAAATAAAACCCACACATAAATGTGACGTGTCTGTGTTAAATCCCTGAATATGACATACATGTACAGATCATACAAAAGCACACATGTTAAACTTATGTAACATGTACATTTTGAAGGGCACAACATGCAGTGTATAGAATATATGATCTAATGTTTAGCATTAGCCTTTAGCCTGGTCCGTCACTTTTTTGTGTCCCCACAAACAGTTCTGCTGTGTTGTGAGTTTTTGTTTTTTGACTTGGATGTGTTTTCTGAAGTCGCAGTGAGTTGAGCCCTCCAGGCCACCATACTTCACTCCTATAACTCCATATAACATTAAACAAAACAACAGAGAGTGTAAAGCCGTGTGATCTGTTGCACGGATCAGGAACTACTGTTTATGTTGCACTGTGTTTTTCAGCATGAGAAGCAGCAGGAAGTGAAAGTGAAGCGCACACACCTTTATTTGTTTGATGTAAAAACACCAGAGATGATGCAGGTCACAGTTCTTTACTGTCAAATTATATCAAAAACAGGAGGACAGCTGTTATTTATTCCAACATGGCCGACTTGAATCTACAAAAAGACCTTCATCTTGCTGCATTATAAAGAAACAGTCATGAACTGGCTTGTTGTTTGAATGTGGTTAAAGATCAGTTCAATGCAGATATCTTGCACTCAGTGTTTCAGTGTGGTCCGTCTTCAGCCAGGTTGTTTTTCTCATGACCTTCTCCCTCCACCTCGGTGTAACCAGGCTGCTGCTTCTGAAACTTCCAGGACGGCCAGTAGCTCTTACGGCGCTTATTTCAAAGAAGAAGCAGAAACGATATGTTGATATGATGACGATGACAAATGTGGCTGACTCTGACGTTGACTCTCTGGGATTAACATTAGATCAGATATCAACTTATATTTTGACCACAGTCAACAGGGGGGGGGGGGCGTGGTCAGTGCTCACCTGGATGAGGTAAAGCGGTGAAGCGACGGCAGGGTGGTAGTTGATGTAAAGAGCGACGAGTATCAGCGCCAGGAGCAGAACCAGAGCAGCTGTTATCCCGGCGATCACGCCTGTGTTGGCCGACCCTGAAACATCTGTCCTCACATCTGGAACACAGACAAAGACACGTGATGGAAAAAATCTGGTTGTGTTGTCGCTGAACTGGAGAAACCCTGATGGAGTTGAACTCACCACTGCCCGACTTCAAAACGAGGCGTTTGGTTTCGTCTGGAAGAAGAAAGAGAGGAAGAGGAATAACCAACAGTTGGATAAAGAAAGGAGCTGTTCTTCATGGTGCCCACAGTGAAACACTGCGTCCCTGCATCAGACTGACTGATGGTCTGTCTGTATCTATATGTACTGTATACATCTATACACACACACATTATACTGTTGTAACGACTCACCGTCGCTCTCACAGCCTTTCTGTAAAGGAGGCACAGACGACACGTCCTCCACCTCTGCTGTGACGGAGCTGTTGTAATCCTCACACACTGCATCATTGCTCTGCACACACACACACACACACAATATAACAATAACAGATGCAATTCAAGGTTGAATAATCAACCTTATTGATTATCGATGATCAGGTTTCCCTCCCCCAGCGGAGCCTCACCTCCTCTAAGCAGCCGTAGTCCAGCCACTCCTGCCGGTGTCGGTCCATCCCGTCTGAACACCTGTGTGTTCATAAAGCAATACACCTGCTGAACCTCCATTAACTCCACATCATCATCATCATCATCATCATCACTCACCTCTGGAGCACATGACACCAGGTGCAGCCAGAGGTTCGGTTGGCTGAGAGGCAGAGTTCACAGCTGTCCAGCTGCAGACAGGCTGACGGCAGAAAAGAAGAACAAGAAGAAGAAGAAGAAGAGGTCAGAGTGTGTCTGATATCCTGATATTGATTAGCATTGATTGGCAGAGGCTGCTGATCACTTACTGGGCAGTGGAGTGAACTCCACAGCAGAGAAGCTGCTGATCCTGGTGATGTTGATCTCCACCCTGTGATACTCGTAGATCGTCCGGTGCTGAACGTCTGAGTCACAGGAGAGAGAGAGAGAGAGAGTCAGAGGACAGAGCAACATCTGACACCTGAAAACGTACAAGGACTTAAAACAGAGACCTGATTTGGGTCGTCATGGTAACAGATAACAGAGATGTAACAGGTAATAACAGGACCGACCTGGTGACTGAGGAGAAGGTGACGTGACCATGAAGGCATCAGACAGTCCGACCTTCACTGGATGTTCAGCTGAACTGATCACATCCAACGACAGAGGCACCTGGTGAGCAAACAGGTGAGGAGGTGTGTGAACAGGTGTGTGCGTGAGAACAGGTGTGTGTGAGAGCAGCAGGTGACAGTGAACGCCTCACGTCTCTGTAGCTGAACGTGATGCTTCCCGTCTTGTGGAGCGCAGCCTGAAAGGTGAAGGAACCTTCGGACTCTTTGCCAGCGAGTCGAACCTGCTCCCACTGGACCACAAACACCTCACCTGAGGGGAGCACAGGTGAGTTATGACTCAGCACGTCTCCAGGAAGTAGGAAGCACCAAGAGTCTCACATGTAAAGAATCACACGGAGAGACGCCAGTTTGACGTAAAGGCGCAGGGAGGGGGCGGGGTTCACCATATGAATTACTGATTTATGTTGTGGAGGGAAGTAGTTTGTCATTCACCGTTGTCCAGGTACTGCACCGTGGAGTCTTTGGAGTGGCTGGGGTCAAAGTTCGCCATGAGGGGGGAGATGTACTGAGTGGTGGTCAGCTGACGGTGAGTGACATCACCGGTGAAGATGAAACCTGGAGGAGGAAAAACAAAACATGTAAGTCACACAGCAGCAGAAACACCGAACATGTGCCAGAAAGGTCAGAGCTGAACATCTGTACGCACCTCCTGTCGCTATGGTAACCTGCCTCAGGTAATGTCCGTAGAAGGGGAAGTCAAAGGAGAGAGCGACCCTCTGGAAAAAATGGAGACAGATGCAGAGACGTTTGAATGTGGATCTGTACAGAGCGTTTAAAGAGCGTTTCCACTGCAGCAACACGACGTCAGACTCCTCCCTCCTTTAAGACCTTTAACAAGACCTCGTTCTGTGTTTTACAGGAACTGATCCACACTCTTTCACTGCAGTGATGCTGCGTTCAAATACAAGACAGAAGTCAGATCTTCTGAGTTCCCTCTGAAGTTGGAATTACAACTTGACCTTGACCTTGCAATCCAAGATGGCCGCTGAGTAAGAGAATAAGAATTATAGGATAAAAGTTGCCGTGTTGCCCTCACATACAAACAAAGCTAACAATGCTAATAATGCTAACAACAACAACAACAGCCTTATAATTGAAATGTGATTAACTCACATGTGCAGTTATTCCCAGCTCTGAATTCCTACGTCACTGAATGCATCACAGGCTCTTTGACCATGAACAGACTAAACTCTCCAGCTCCTCAGTCGACACCAAACCAACCACAGCGGGGCATTTTTATCTAAACTTTATATGAGAGGGCGCGCCCAGACTTGAACCAGAGACCTGTTGATCTGCAGTCAAACGCTCTAACACTGGGCTTACCCCCCCCCCCCCCGGCCAGTCACAGGTCAACACAGAGATAGTGGGCCAGTGATGAACATTTTTCCTTAACCTGTCTCTACAGAATGTGTTGAGGATGGAGACACAGCTTGGCTGAGAGATCAACAGCACCGACTGAAGCTGCTCTATCACAGTGAAGCTCAGCAAAGTCCTGGGTTTGGTCCCGCTGGGTTCCTCCCTGAGCTCCCCGTGTGTTGCACAGGTGCCAGGTGTTGGACAGCCTCCGGCTCTGGACCTGCACCAGCAGCTCCTGGTGTGTTTCCCTCTGAACTCCTGGATCAACAGCTGCTGCTGCATTAGCTTCACACTGACATGTGGAGACTCGTTAGCGCCTTTATTACAGAGATGGAATTAGATGTGATAGAAATGAAGTGAAAGGAAGGGTGACGCTTTATTCTATGGATGACTTACACCTTACAGTCTCTGTGGTATAACAGACCCAGGCATGTTTTTACAGGACCGGCAGGATCTGCAGTGAAATGCTCCAACGCTGAGCTACACCCAACACTTCATGTTTCCATACACATAAAGGTCTCGAACATGTCAGTAAAACTTCATATAACTTCACTTATAAAAACCACAGAAGCCCAAGATAGCAGGAGGATTTTCCCAAGTAGCAGCATGTTGAGCCCTCAGGGCCACCGTACCAACAAGTGTAGAGTAAATTCAGAAGTGTGTGAGCTCATTTGTAAACTCAGATCCTCAGTTCAGTTGTTCCTCCGGTAAACAGCAGCTGCAGTGTTGCACTTATCTGCTGCAACCAGCATGACTCACTTACAGGAGGCAGGAAACCATCTAAACACATACAGTGAATATGGGCGGGGGGGGGGGGGGGGGGGATTCCTGATCTACAGTCAGTCTCCACCACAGAGATAAAACCCCCACTCTATTATCTTTTCAATGGGACCATGGTTAGAAACATTACCATTATATTGTACTGAAGAAAAGTTCAAACCAGAGACAAAGACATTTTTCACAGTGGAGCTGGAGGTGTCGCCCCTGGTGGCCATTTGATAAAATGCAGGTTTAAGGCACCTCAATCATTTTATATGCAGTCTGCAGTGTGTGTGTGTGTGTGTGTGTGTGTGTGTGTGTGTGTGTGTGTGTGTGTGTGTGTGTGTGTGTGTGTGTGTGTGTGTGTGTGTGTCACACTCACCACAGCCTGTTTGTATGAGTTTGACAGGATACCGTGGACTCTGACTTCGCCGTGCCGGACGTCAGTCATGTCTACCCATAATTCCTCAGTGCGCTGGTCCTCGGGGCCAAAGCTGTGCCATGTGTAGTATTTCCCAGAATCCTCCTTCCAGAGGGAGAAAAAAAAAAAAACCACAGTGGTTCAGAGGTCGTAACGGTGCGACGGTGTTCAGATGAATGTGTCATGGAGGCACTAAGCTGTCGTGTGCTGCTCCGAGTGAGTGGAGCAGAGGGAAAGTGTGCAGCGTTCACGTCCCACTCAAACAAACGTAACGTGTCAGAGGCCACACCACAAACCATTAGAGTCAGTAGAAACACTGCGGTGCACACACACACACACACACACACTCACCACTACACGTGTCATATTGTCTGGCAGCGTGTTGATGGTCAGGCCTCCATCACCACCCGGCTCAGCACGCTGTGACCCGGGGACGACCTCTGGACCCGTGGCTGTGACATCACACTGTAAACATCATCTGTCACAAACAATAAATATCAGAGGTCTGTAGTATGAAGCCAGCCCAGCATACCCAGGATCAGCCTTAGTGATCACACACACACACACACACACACACACACACCCTGCAATAATACAAAGCACACAATGTAGAAGTGACGGTGCCCAGATTCTTATGTTTCTGGGAGGAGAGAAACACTGTGATCAGATTTATTAAATATTAGATTAGATGTATAAACACAGGCCTGCCCAGGTGCATGCTGGTCCTAAACCGAACAGAAATAAGCCAAGTCAACTAAAAAAATGACAAACAAAAGAGAATATCTTTGAAAAATGAATAAAACAAATTATAAAAACAAAAGTGAAAACAGGTTAACAGAGAACAGAGCGATCAATAAACTCATGAACAGCTCCTTCGCTGCTGTTTGTTGAAAGAAGGCAGACACGAGACGAGAACCGGTGGAGCTCAGAGGAAACTGTCCGATTGTCCAGACAGACCGAGGAGGGCCGGTTCTCTGTGCGAGGCTGCAGCCTCCTGGACCACACGGGGGTTTTCTCCGGACCGTTGAAAAGAGCCTGTGTGTTCACATTCACACCAAGTCCTGGGTGCAGAGCCGGCGTCAGCAGAGAGAGACATACTGCAGCTGCTGCAGATGTACTTTAAAATGTCCAGAGACTATATTCAGACTGTAGGAGACTCTGCTGGGGGTGAACAGACAAAAACAGCAGGTAATTTAGTGAACGCAGCTTCAGTGAACCAACACACACACACACACACACACACACACACACACACACTGACATCCTCTCTCCTGGTCCTGGCCTCAGAGTTGTTGGCTGAATCAAGTTAAAATGTAAAGGGTGCATTATAAGACTTGGTCAGGACAAGTGCTCAGATTAACAATAACCTAATAATGAATAACTTAGAAAGTAAGTGTGTTTGTTTGAACAAACTTGAATTAAATTACTCTCGAAGACGAGTGATACGTTCAGCTTCCACACAACAAATCTGCTCCATGAACACGTTTTTAAAAACAGTTTTTCAAAGTTTATGGTTGTGAACATTTTCCTCTGTATCTCCAGAAACATCTCTGCGTGGCTCATAAAAACACCCAGGACTTTGTAACAGGAGAGGAGCGTGTAATATAGACAGTATGTGGCAGGAACCATTTGTTGTTTTAAAAGGTTAATAAAAAAGGCATGAATAAACTGAGGAGCTCCTTCTTCTGGCTCTGATACTACAACATCCAGAGAGCTCCGTAAAACACCGTTCATACATCTCTGGCAGCTTGTTTTGATAGCTGTTTCCAGGTTGCCACGGTAACGCCACATCATCCATCACTGAAGGTGAAGTTTGCCAGATACAACAACCTCAGGGCGACTTCCACTCAGATAAAAACTGATTTAAAAGATAGAAACACCCTCACAGTCCAGATGCAACACAAGAGTTTGGTACTGACTGTATTGACTCCACTCTGTTATATAAATCCATACAATTCATCAGCACTGTTAATGCGATAATTTTATGTCAGACAGTGGTTTTTGCTTCCTTTACCTAAATTATAAAACATATAAACAGGGGCAAAAAACCCACTTATCTTTCTTCCACTTTACTGATATTAGTGGCAGAGGTACTACTACTAATATTATGACTTTTAAATACATCATTATACGTTGTTTATATTAATATTATATTTGGAGCATTAAGGTGATTTGCAGCTTTCTTAGCTGCATTACGGTAGCCAGCGCTGACGTCACGAGCAGACTATATAAACCCCGGAACAGCGCTGATCCTCACGGAGTGTGTTTCTAACCCTAATTCCAGGTCGCCTCCCGTACACAGCGTCCGCTGTTTTCTCCTCTACCGGCTTTCAGCGAACCACGGGAGGTTCGTGTGGCGCAGGAAACGTTAACGAAGCGTGGGGGAAAAAAAGCCAAGAGAGTCACTCCGTCACGTTCAGTCTCCCGACGGGAACACCGGGAGCGTGGTCAGCCCGGCTGCCGCGAAGAGATGTTCTCTGCTCCGGTGTCTTCTTGGCGGGAGTCTCGGCAAACTGAGCAGATTAAAAAGCTGAGCAGGGCGACTCCTCCGGGTCTCCGGTGGCCCGGTTAGGAAGCTCGCGCTCAAACACTCGTTATCCGTGCTGTGTTTAAAGTGTCGGTGTTTCCTCACGTGCCCTGTAGTTTTTGCTAACTTGATGCTAACGCTAGCTGTCGGCCCTGCCTCCAAAGTTTACACGAGCTATTTGATTTAGGCGGTTCTTCACCTGCAGCCACACAGAGGTGACTGGAGCTGGCCGCTTCACCCACTGTGTTCAACACACCTGTGGTTTTAAAGTGAACTCAAGCACCATTTTCACGTGGAAAAACACAGTACTGACCTGAAGTGTTTGCCCCATCCCTGCCCTGCACACCTGCTTCAAATGAACTAATGTCCCAACGCAGCCCGTGAAGGTAGAAACCCGAGCCGAGAACATGGCGGTTTTCATCACTTCCCCTGAGCAAGAACACAAAACCCCGCCATCAATCTTTTGACGGGTTGAATAACTTTTAATAGTCGAGCAACAATGTCAAATCTGAGTGGTTCAACTCAGTCTTTGGGGCGTCGTATCTGTCGATAGGAAACCATTAAAACAGATTTTAGAAGCGGTGTTTCGTTCTCCTCTGGCACTACTTTCCTTCAACCGTTGGGACGTGGTAGTGCAGCGGTTGGGTAAAAGGTAGTGCTGCGCGACGACAAAGCTCTTTATATTAAGTGAACATGGAAACATTTGGTGTGTTTTGACGGATAATTTAAAGAAACATTAAACTTTGTTTTTCTGCCGCTGCTGTGTTTCTAGTGTTCATCGTGATCACCATTGCGGTAATGCGTAGGTACACGGTAGCTAGGTAGCAGCTGGGGGAGGGGGGGGGGGGTACAAAAACACGTTTGATCAAATCAGTCACTTCAGATCAAACGTTTGCTTTATGTACAGTATTTTCAGCGATTTGTCTTCGCGTGGAAACAGCGCTTTTAATTGGAACTATTTTTTTCCCACCACTAAGCTACCGTATTCCTACGCACAAGCTAACTTGTGTGTTTATGCGTAGGAATACCGTAGCTCATTGGTGGAAAATGTTACGTGCTATTTCCATGGAAACCTACATTTTGCGCAGGAGGCGAATATGAACAAACAATGGCCTTTTCTCAGTGTCTAAAACAAGTTTATATCTGTCTTTTCTTTTTTTTTTTTGGGGGGGGGGGGTGTTAATTACAAAAGAGAAGTTTGTCATAACTTTGCTGGTTTTTTAAATCTTTCTTGATAAAAATTCTAATATTTTGACATTTCTGATT